TTTTATTACTGAATCCTTGCCAATCTATTAAATAAAATAATTCCTCATTCATTTACTAATTATAATAAGAAGATACCATTTAACTGGATGATGATTGTGCTTATAAATACAATACATACTTAGGTGAATCATACTATACTTCCGTGGCTTCGTGGTATTTTCACACCAAAACAAATGATCGCCAGTGCGGTAAACATAAGCATTGGATCCCAAAATAACATAAACAAAACACTGCTAAACGGTTTTATCATAAGTTTCAAAAAGCTCCGAGAACGGGAAAACAATATCTGACAGCGGCACATCAACGTAAAAAACTGCAATCGCATCATTATTTGTAACTAGCTTTCTGCCCGCGGCTTCGCCCGCGTGGAATTTTGTCTGTCACAGAAAAACTTTATCGCGCGCGTCCCTGTTTCAAAAACCGGGATAAAAACTATCGTATGTTCTTTCCCGGGACTCAAACTATCTCTATGCCAAATTTCATCAAAATCGGTTGCGAGGTTTAAGCGGGAAAGCGTAACAGACAGACAGACAGACAGACAGACAGACAGACAGACAGACAGACAGACAGAGTTACTTTCGCATTTATAATATTAGTTGGGATAGAGCATTTAATTTTGTAGATAGTGTGCAAGATGTAGAGTCGATAGCACTTGAGACAATACATTTCTGTTGAAAAATCGCTCCTATTACAACCGTTTAAGATGCCACAGTGTTTAGATTGATGTGCAGTTGTCTCTAAAACTCGTAGCAAACCAACTGGTGTTGCACCGGGCTTACGAAGGACAGGTCATGGGACTACAGTGAAGGTAGCTCTATTAGCCTTAGGGTTAGCATCTGCAAAACCCATAAATAGCCTAAAACTATCTTATAACAAGCTTTGAAATCCTGAAATGACTTATTTTACCTGAGTACACACCTGCTACATCGACAACAATACGTCGAACTCTATGTAGAGTCTTTTCACTCAAATATCCGCTTTCATTAAGACGACAGATGACTGCATATTGCTTGCACCCCTTTGTAAAGTTATTTTGTTGAATCACCTGCATCTGTCTCGTTTACTCATGGGAATATGTAAGGGAGACATCCGTGTTCCCTTTTTGAATATTTAGAATTCGTTTTGCAGATTAGGCCATGCGGTAGGTTGTAACAAAAGATCTACTAGCTCTGTATCTATTGTAATATTTCTTTGCCGATGGTGTAGTTAATTATGAAAGATGTTTTACTTTTTCGAGTGACGACGACACGTGGCGTTATGAAGACAAAGGCAAGTTAAGCCTTTAATAGTATGTTTCTTGTAATCGGACCGCAAACTTCTGATCTTTGTAAGTATTCTCAGATCTTGCAATTTGGAATCTAGGTATTGTGCTAAATTGTAAACGCGAAGCTTGTGTTTTATTTTAACTTCGTCATATTTTAACTACGTGTAATTGGTGATAGAGTTGCATAAACCATTTTGGTATGGGGTATCCTGTTAACTTTTATCAGATTATCTTTAAGGTTGATTCATTGGAACTTTCTGACCATTGTTTGGGGATTATCTACTAAATCAATAGAGACCTATCTCTCATTATGTTACGTACTAGATAATAAAATCGATTGAATCACAAGCAAAACATAATATGCGTAATATTTTCAAAAGCCGCGTACATGAATACGTTAAAACGATATGACGGACAGCTGTTCCGAGCGCGCTGCGGAATCGGTGCTACTCGTGTAAAGGTCATTGGACGCGCTTGTGAAAATCTTATCACCGCTCGATAAATTGCGTACACGATTACTTTATCGATGTAAAGCGTGAAATAGGAACGTAACAATAGTATTTTTCTCAATAACTTCACCTCGTTAAACATTTAGTAATGAAAATCGAACGTTCCGCGAAAAGTAGGTCAACTCACGACAACACTGCAATTAATTAATCTCAGATGAATTAAATGTTAATTAAACAAAGAACACGAAAGTTTCCTGCCTGACATATATTGTTTGAGACATCATCATCGTAGAGGTACAAGCAAACTTTTTATCGAACACCACACGGCGAACGCGACGTAAAAACTAGTTTATTATGAGCAGCAGCGTATAGGAACAAGAGTAAAACTGCGAAACATAATTGTGCATTTTAAAGCCCTTATATCAGTATTTATAAGCGAGCAAGTTATAGCGACGCGACGCCGCGCGCCGGCCGATGTTGAAAAACATCGCAAGATCAACGAGTATTGTTTGTGTTGTGGAAATTTCCAAACAAATCATATGGTATCTCTTGCTAGTACTACTTTGCTATTTCACACTAATTTAATGAAATCGTTGACCATAATTCTTTGAGAAAAACACGCAGGCTATTTTTAGACATTTTCCTTGGAAATTCTTAATCGGTTAACAGCCATTTAGTAATGAGTAAGATGACCCCTTCTGAAAATAAGGTTAATTTTTTGAAATGTATTCCCGAAATAGATAAAATAATAATTAACTAATAACAAGCACTTGGTACGTAATTGTTATCGCGCTACGTCACGGCGACACAATACATTCTTGTGATAACGATAACACTGAGGGAAACATGTCCAGTATTGTTGTCCTGACCTCGAAAATTATCGGTCGTTGTCTTTATGTTTGCGGAGGTTTTTTAGACCACCCTCGCGAACTTCGGTAAAGTGACTAACAATGCAGTGATGTTGACTCATGATGAAGGAAGCGTCATCTGAGCTGGAAGAATTTTTCCTAAATCAACAAGCTAATTTATTTTCTAAACGTAAACACCAGTTCAGATGTTCATGATCAATCTAGACGTTCATGTAGTCTTACAAATTCAAATATCCAGTCCTAAATTACTGAAATTTGTCACACGTGGGCTCAAAATATGAAATGACGATGACATATCCGTCGTTCAAATTGTCCACCTAATATTTAACACGTGGCTTACTCTGTAAGTATAAATGTAATGAGACTCGCGCGATCATTTCTATTAAAAGCATCGATTTAACGAGCGGAATGAGATGGTACACTCCGCGTACAGTAAATATGGGTCGGCAGACGCTCGCGTGCCGCGCGCTCCCGGCGGCCGCTAAACCAACTAATGAAATAACAAAAGGTGCAGCGCCTCCGTCGAACCGAATTTGTGTAACTCCCAAACCTGGTTTAACAAAGCCGACCTTGTCAACTGTACCGAGCAGAGTTTGTGCACTCATAAATGCACCAAAAAAGTTATCGCAAGATAATTCTTGTGCATTATCAGCAGTGTTCTACTTATGAGAGTGTGCGACGGTCATTTCCTTGAAAAGCGTTGCGTAAAAGTGCCCGACCGTTATTTGAGCCTGAGGCCGTTGCACTGATAGCGCTTTCCGAAATTCGGATTGCAAAAGCGAATCGTCGCGTTGGAGAGCACGAGCGGGCGCGAGCGGGCGACGAGGCAGAGTCGCGGGCCACGAGCTGCGGAAGTTACGGTGAACGGTGCCTCGGCGGCCTTGGCGGATCGGCGGCCGCGCGCCGAAGGTGAAAGTCTTGACGGCCTGCAATTATTGAACCTCGACCCACCATCCTCGTATATTCGGGTTACTACACTCCACGCAGTTACGGTGACGTACGCTGTACGCACTCCTGACTTCCGCATTCTAAGCCCAGATTCGACCTCAAAACAATCCAACTACTTTTCGGCGAGCACTGCACTTTAACCAACCACTAAAATTAAATCTCAGCTGCACTAATGACTTTAAAGTTTCAAACTCGAAACCAAACAATAGAAACTAATGATAGATTCGTGTCAGAAAATGTATTTTTATTACGTCTAAAAGCAGTCGGTACCTTCACGCGTGATTGAATTAGGCAATTTGAGGGTCAATCTGGCAGCTGTTTGGCTCCTATTCAAATTTAAATGTGCTGATGTCTTTAGTCTATCTTGAGTTGTTAATTCAGTAGACGAAGCTAGTAAACGATTGAGGTAAACAAACAGAATGATAGCGCGTTGTAAATGTGTGGATGGTGATTTTAGAGCGAATGTCTACGAGTGTTTTACGATAGGCGGAGTGGTTCGTCAGCGGCCGACGCTCATCGCGCGCAATATTCGCCCTCCGGAGAATTCAACAATAGCAGGTACCCGGCGCATCCCATAGGCACAATTGTAGCTCCCAAAGATACTGGAATTAAATGCTAATTATGATTGCCCAGTTGTAGAAGCGTTTCGGAATTATATAGGATTTATGGTGAAAGTTGTAAAGAGACTGGATTACTGTTTACCTCAACTCTAGCCAGTATCGTAGATTACTTATGCATATTAAAATATATTATTTTTACGAACGATCTCGCCGGGCTTGTTTCTCTCAATATTTTTAGAAATATTTTTTTACAAATCTCTTTAGATTTGGATCTTTTTATGAGAAAATTGGCAATTAGAACTTAAGCTTTGTATCATTACACTTTTATGTTTTCAGCTTTTGCAATCAAATTCTTTGGTATTATGTGTACAGGTATATCTTATGTATTACCCAGCACCTATTGTATTACACCTTCAACAGAAAACACGTTGAAATAAACACCTAGATCCATAGCATTGTTATGATTCAGACTGACTACGTTACAAAGACAATGATAAAATTGTAGACCTAATAAAACTCCTTGACTTACCTACGTGGTTTACTAATTGAAATTACCCACTTGTATCCAAAATGGGACTTTAATAGTTAGCATAATAGCAATCAAAACTTCAACAAAGCGTTTTACTTACTGCTAAGCTAACAGCAGCAATTTAACAGATCAAATTAATACAGATAAGAAGACAGAGATGTAAAGTTTTTCTCCCATAAAATCCAAGAAATAAAGTAGAAAGTAGAAATGTGCATCAAGTCGAAAATTGAGATTGGAAATAGCAAGCGAGTGTCACAATAAATAAAAATTATCAAAAAGGCACACGGATTAGAGTGAGGATAATGAGGTATCCTTCGCTAGGAAGGGGAGCATCTACGGCAGGGAGCGGCCTGCGCGCCCTGTGTAAATCACAAGAACTTATGTATGGGATAGGCGAGCAGGCAGTTTGGCGCGCGAAGCCGGTCGCGGCGGACGTATCGAACGGGTGCTCTCGAGCGAGTTCATAGTAGCCTCCGTTGTTTGGACAAGTGCTAAGTTGATCGTTTTATGACGTGATACAGCTCGTTGACGTTCGGCCTGTTGGCATTATGTACAAATTAACCGTTCGACTTTTAAATTCTGTGTGTTGTTTTTGAACGTTTTGGATTATTTATTTTTTTGGAGTGCTGTGACTTTTTTTGGAGTGTTCCAATTTTAAAAAGGTAATAAAAAGTGTTTTTTTTTTTATTATTTTAGTTTTTTATATTATTATAATCTGAAGATTTATTGGTGTGATTGTTTTGAATAGTTTTAAAACAAAAAAAGTTTTATTCAGATTTCTTTGTTTTTTTTTCTTTTTTACAGTTTTTTTTAAATACATTTTTTTTATTCTTGTAAATTCTTGGCGACAATTAAAGTAACATGCAGAATTAATTATTATGACTTACCAAAGTGTTTGGCGCAACAGCTGTAACTTTTGTTTTTTTTTCTGTAACAAAGAGACAGTTATGTAGCAAAGCAAGAGCGTAATAACATACTTACACATACATACGGATATGCATAATATTTAAGAGTGGCTTAAAGATATATAGGTATGTGTGTGACGTAGTAATACTCTAATGAAGTTAGGTAATAGTTTGAAATAGCTATTCAATTTAGCTTTGCAATAGTGATTGCGAGAGTATTGTACTTATTTGTATGTGATATTTAAAAGTGGTAATACTGATTTAAATAAGTTTTTTTTTAGTTTTTATGGTTAATTATTGCTAACCGAATGACAATTAATTTAACCTTAATTAAAAAAAAGTTGCTTGATTTCTAATTTCTGGAGGAAAAAATGCAATTTTGACGTAATGTCTTTCTAAAAGTTAATGAGACTGTGTAATTAGTTTAAATGTTGAAATCACCATGCGTTTTCAATTTCTACCTGACCAGCCCTTTTGATCGCTATGCCGACTAGTGCCGTCTCGTTCCCACTCAGTAAGAGTGAAAGAGAGGGCTGTAGCGTATGGATCTCATTCGGAGACTTTGAGAACTGAGATTAATTTAAGTGGTTCTGGTTTGACAATAAAAAGCGTATAAAGTTATGGGAAATTAGTTGTTTTTACTGTTTTCTGGACTAAATAAAACAAAGTCTTAAAAACGAGGCACCTATGTACTTAAGTCACTTAATACCAATATTTATTATGAATAAGTGACAGTTTCACAGAAGGTCCACTTAACATTAGGCACAAATCATTATGAATAAGTTTTTTTATGATATAATTTTTATCTTTGAATATGAATTTGAATAGCCATGTTATCGACCCAGCTCCATTATCATAACGATATTTCTTATCAGTTGAACTACAAATTGACATAACTTATCATTTACTGCCTATATTCTTTGTTAAGATAGCTCGTTTTTAAATAAAAAAGCATAGCTACCACAGATTTAAAAGATATTTGTAAAGAAGAGATAATACCCATCAACTCCCAGGTGCATTCATTTCTGCAACTAGAACCTAATTGATATCCTATTGCAATGGGCACACGGTTCACTTTCATCTACATGAGCTGCAAATATTTTATTAACTAGCGGCCGCCCGCGACTTCGTACGCGTGGATCCCGTTTTACCCCCTTCATCTATCTTACGCGGTTTAGATTTATTCATACAAATGTTTTTTCCCGCTAACTCCCGTTCCCATGGGAATTTTGCAATATCCTGTTGTAACTAAGCTTTACGTTTACTAAGGTACCTGCATGCCAAATTTCAAGCGTCTAACTTAAGCGGTTTAGATTTTTCATACAAAAGGATTTTCCCGCTAATTCCCGTTCCCGTGGGAATTCCTAAGTATACTATAACCTGCCCAGGAGTATGAAGAATAATTGTACTAAGTTTCGTTAAAATCCGTCAAGTAGTTTTTGTTTCTATAAGGAACATACAGACAGACAGACAGACAGACAGACAGACAGACAGACAGACAGACAGACAGACAGACAGACAGACAGACGGACAGACAGACAGACAGACAAAAATTTTACTGATTGCATTTTTGGCATCAGTATCGATCACTAATCACCCCCTGATAGTTATTTTGAAAATATATTTCATGTACAGAATTGACCTCTCTACAGATTTATTATAAGTATAGATTTAGGCTAAATGAAAGTTGTTATAAGACAATTATAATTAGAATACAACCGTTTTTAATATCCAAATATCTTGAATATTCTATGAAATTCAGGGAAATAAACATGTAACCTTTTGATTTAATACATTTTATTGAATTAATTTAAACAGGTTTTAACGCGATACGCGGATAAGTAACATTTTATTGCTTTTAAAATGTGCTTTACGTTAATTCTCATCATTAAAATAACAGTTCACTGTACTTTTAGCCTTTAAAGTTTAAGTGAACATAGAAAAGAAATCACTGACTTATTATTTCTTTATGAAATAAAATTTACCGATCAATTTAATTACTTAATGACTCAAGTAGATATTGTTTATTACGAGCATGTTGATTTACTGGATTGTTGTACGTTAACATTACGTTAGGTGTTAGTTGAATCAGTGTAATCGAAAATGTATTTTATTCGTTGCGTAACAGATTTCTTTTTAACACGTTCTGGTATCGATTTGGGTTAAATATTAAAGGCCCGTAATACGAAACGATGATTAAACTCGGTTCAGACATGGAGATAAAAAGCGTGTGTTTATTCCAAACAATGAACTTCACCAATCACATAAGTACATATTAATGTAGGTAATATTTGATGTATTTAAAGGGTAGAATCACAAAACACGGGTGTTAATGACAATAAAAACCAGACTAGCACTATTCATGGCATCATTTCAGTTAAGCATTACATTCCTCGTCACTTTCTTTCTAAATGTAGGTTAAACTTATGAATAAGGGAACAGTGTCCAAAATATTTTGCAAAATCACATAGATTAAAAAGCTGTCAAAGTGCAAAACGACAATATTTTGCCTAAATACATTTCCCACTCAAGAAAGTGATGATTGTTTATTGAACCAAAGCTTTAAATTTTACAAATCGAATGCAAGCGTAGAGCCACAATGACATATTTATTTAGCCCGATGATTTATTCATAGTGCCCGACATTACACCGTTTCATTTTACCGGCTCAAAATGCGTTAGCTTTGTTATTTATTTCCAATCGTTGTGCAGGATTGGTTTTACATAGATTACGAGTATAATGTAGAGACGAGCACATCAGAATATGCACTTTCATTGCAAAATAACACCTAATACAAAAACAGAAATTGTTATAATGTTTAAGGTGCTTGAGGTGCTGTCGTTTTTTTCTTAGTTGTACATTACTTCTATGAATTTTTAAGAAAAAAAAAACTTGATATACTCTAATGCTCTGGATTATTCTCAAATACAGAATAGAGTTTGCTATGTTTTAGTATCCCTACTTTGTACATAAAGTTAGCACAAAGAATTTATGAAAATTGAAGCTACACCCACTGGGTAATTGACTCGCTCGTGTGGACAAAGCTCAGACTTTGAAGCCCTGAGCCCTTTTTCATTACTATTTCATACCTTTTCTGTATAATAAGAAATTGGTAAGCGTTGGTGATTTATATAAGGACTACAAACAGAGGATTTGCTCATATAACTTCCTTGGCCAGGCTTTCTCCACGGGGGAACCTAGTTCATGTTATGTAACACGGAAGCTTTATTTAATTCTTTGAAATAAACTTAAGGTTCTTTCTTTGAACTATGTATAAAAGTTTTTCTACCATGAAAATTGTTTCATTTGGCACAACTGCAAGCTCTAGGTATGTGCGCAAAATTAAAAGACAATGCCGGAAATTGGCGTCTTTTTTTTTTCGCGCGGCCATCGACCAAACTTTGTTTTTTGATTACAAAATAGTGTAATAAACCAAACTTACTATGGCATGTATACCTCTAAACTCAGTCTGAACTGAGTTACGAGCATTAGAAGTTTGATGATTTTCATACTAGATTTGCTTTTTGCGCGCAAAGTTTTGTAAGAAATTGCAACAAAATAGTGAGATTTTATGTGTAAACAAACAATACCATCCATTAACAAACAAATCCAGGTCCAACTTCGAGAAAGAGGTCAATCGTCGAATCCAACTCGGATGGGCAGCGTTCGGGAAGCTTCGCCATATACTCATGTCCGAAATACCGCAGTGTCTCAAGACGAAAGTCTTCGAGCAGTGTGTGTTGCCAGTGTTGACATATGGATCCGAAACGTGGTCGCTTACTATGGGCCTCATAAGAAGGCTCAAGGTCACCCAAAGGGCGATGGAGCGGGCTATGCTCGGAGTTTCCCTGCGTGATCGAATCAGAAATGAGGAGATCCGTAGGAGAACCAAAGTAACCGACATAGCTCGCAGAATTGCTAAAATCAAGTGGCAGTGGGCGGGGCACATAGCTCGTAGAGACGATGGCCGTTGGGGCAGGAAAGTTCTCGAGTGGCGACCACGGGCTGGAAAACGTAGCGTGGGCAGGCCTCCTACTAGGTGGACCGACGATCTGGTAAAGGTCGCGGGAAGAGCCTGGATGCGGGCAGCGCAGGACCGTTCATTGTGGAAAACCTTGGGGGAGGCCTTTGTCCAGCAGTGGACGTCATTTGGCTGAAACGAACGAACGAACCATCCATTAAAGGCTCCAGACATCAGTATGGAGCAGAATCAGCGCAATAAAAAATAGCGCAATATTTTGTTGCAATTTCTTACAAAACTTGCGCACAAAAAGCAAATCTAGTATGAAAATCATCAAACTTCTAATGCTCGTAACTCAGTTCAGACTGAGTTTAGAGGTATACATGCCATAGTAAGTTTGGTTTATTACACTATTTTGTAATCAAAAAACAAAGTTTGGTCGATGGCCGCGCGAAAAAAAAAAGACGCCACCTTCCATACAAAATCTGGCATTGCCATTTTGAATTAGTGGAACTCAAATAGGTAATAAATGATTCGGATAAACAAACTGACAAATCTGTCGATTGCTTTTTGATTTTTTACAGACTTCGAATTCCAATAACACTAGAACGGCATCTAATTAAGGTTTTTTGTGAACAATCTCAGAGTAGTTGACTCAAACAATAATAAAATAGTGATTTCTCTCACAATTAAAGAAAATGCAGCAGTCTTGTATCATGTTTATTAAATTAATTAGTGAAAATAAAAACAAACACGATTCTGTACACAGGAAAATTGCTCTTGAGAACAATATTTT